CCTGTTTTTAGCCCCACTCTCCACCCCTACTTCTAGTATCTTACTCTGGTTTATTGTTTGTGTTCCCTGTGTTATCAACCATCTTCCTCTCTGAATTTCTTCCCAAGCTGTCTGCATCTCTTCTCACTAATTATCAAATCATCAAATTTCTAAAATAGAGTCTAGTACATAGTTGCTTAGTAAATGCTTGTTGCCCAAAAGAGGGAGCAAAGAATAAAATTGAATAAATTTAAGTTTTTGTATATAGTTACATTCTAAGTGAAGATAGGTAAGTAACCTAGTAACTGCAATTTAGATGAAAGTAAAGGGCTTTCCCTCAAGTTTTTAATCCAACAGTTATCCCTTCAGTTAATATTTATCTATTATCTGTCATCATCAATAATTGAATATTTACTTCTACTTCTATTATGGCATACTAGGTAATCAGACTCCCATTAGGAAAAATTAAAATAAGCAGGCAAAATGTAAAATGCATCTGACAGTGGACATGGGAGAGCCAACAAGATAGAAACAATTACCAGGCAAGGACCTGAAGAAGTAGAGTGCTGGGAAAGTGAACCTGATACTAGGTTTGCTTACTCCTCTGGAGATTTACATTAATTAAGGATGGTAAAGCTGAGAGGCCAAGAAGCTGAGCCATCTTTGATAATTTAAAACGGGTGGGGAACATCTGGCCCTCGGGCCATATAAGGCCTGAGAAATCATTTGGTCTGGTCCTCCAAGGCATTGGGGGTGAGTTAATTAAATGTTTGACCAAATATAGCAGGCTAATTTTTAAGTTGATTATTTTGCATGGCCTGCAAATGATGTTATAAATATCCAAATGCCCTTGACAGAATAAAGGTTCCACACCCCTGATCTAAAGGATCAAAGCCATAGAAATTGGTGTCCAGGGATCACTAAAGTAGGTTCTTTCAGAGACTGTAGCTCATCTTCAATCATTTCAATCCCAAAATTAGATTGAAGTAGTCCTAGAATTCTGTTCACTCCAGAATGCTAATGCTCACAAGTTCTAGGCAGAAGCAAACAAATCATCCCTGAGCAGAGAAGTCAAGAAAAAGAAAAGCTGTAAAGATTGGAAAGAAAACTGATGTGATTAATAGATTTATACATTAAAAAAATACAAAAATATCTACACTAATAAAAGACAAACAAGCAAATTGACTGCACCTTTGCTGCACCTTAAGCCACACCCACCAGCCAATCAGAGCAACTATATGCAAATTAACCCAACCAAGATGGTAGCCAGCAGCCACAGAGCTGGAACAAGCAGGAGGCTTGGTTGCCACAGTGATGGAGGAAGCCAAGCTTCCCGTCTGCCGTGGCTGGCTCTGAGCTCCACTCAAAGCAACAAAGTTTCAATTATAGAAGATAAATAAACCCCAGATATCTGCTTTCAGCTGGCCTTGGCCACGGAGCTGGAGCGAGCAGGAGGCTTGGTTGCCCCTGGCAATGGAGGAAGCCAAGCTTCCCGCCCGGCCTGGCTGGCTCTGAGCTCCACTCAAGGCTACAAAGTTTCAATTATAGAAGGTAAATAAATCCCAGAATAAAAAAAAGAAAAAAAGGAGAGGCTGGGAGCTTCCATCGCCAGAGGTCTTGGCCAGCCTGAAAACAGCCTTCAGCCCCTCACCCACACTGACCAGGCACCCCAGTGGGGACCCCCCACCCTAAAGGGGCTGTAGCCAGCCTGAAAACAGCCATCAGCCCCTCACCCAGGCTGGCCAAACCTCCATGGGGTGAGGGTCCCCACTGGGGAGGGCTTGATCAGCCTGCAAACAGCCATCAGCCCCTCACCCAGGCTGGCCACGCACCCCAATGGGGACCCCCACCCTGAAGGGGGTGTGACCAGCCTGCAAACACCCATCAGCTCCTCACCCAGGCTGGCCAGGCACCCCAGCGGGACCCCCACCCTGATCCGGGACATCCTTCAGGGAAAACCAGCCGGACCCCACCCATGCACCAGGCCTCTATCCTATATAATAAAAAGGTAATATGCAAATTGACCCTAACAGCAGAAGGACTGGGAATGACTGGTCACTATGACACACACTGACCACCAGGGGGCAGATGCTCAATGCAGGAGCTGTCCCCTGGTGGTCAGTGCACTCCCACAGGGGGAGCTCTGCTCAGCCACAAGCCAGGCTGATGGCTGCCAGCACAGTGGTGGTGGCAGGAGCTTCTCCCCTCTCCTCAGCAACACTAAGGATGTTCGACTGCAGCTTAGGTCTGCTCCCTGCTGATAAGTGTATCATCCCCCGAGGGCTGCTGGGCTGCCAGAGGTATGTCTGACTGCCAGCTTGGGCCCGATCCCCCAGGGAGCGGGCCTAAGCCAGCAGGTGGACATCCTCCGAGGGGTCCCAGACTGCAAGAGGGCATAGGCCGGGCTGAGGGACCCCCCAGAGTGCACAAATTTTTTTGTGCACCAGGCCTCTAGTGTCAAGATAATTGGTTAGAATCCCTAAGTGAGTTTCATAAGGTTACTGGATACAAGGTCAATATACATAAATCAGTTGCTTTACTATATGCCAGCAACAGTTAGAAAATGAAACTTTATAAAAGATGCAACTTAAAAATACCAGGAAATAAATTATGCAAAGACCTCTATGCAGTAGAAACACAAAATTAAAGAAGACTTAATGGAATAATATAGCATGTTCACAGACTAGAAAAGTAAGTATTACAGAAATGTCAATCAGTTCTATCCAAACTGATCTATTTGATTCAGTGTAATCCCAGTCAAACGCACCAAATTTGCGGATGGGGGAAGATATTTGAATAAGCTGCTTCTAAAATATATATATGGTTATGTAAGACTAAGAAAAGCCAGGAAACTCTTGAAGCAAAACTAGGTAAATCAATTTGTTTTATCAGATATGGAAGACTATATAGCTTTAGTTATAACAATTAAGTTATAGTAATTAAGATAGTGGAACAATGATAGACAAATAGTACAAAGGGATAGAAGAGAGAATGTAGAAAACAGCATAAATGAACTTTCGATTTTAAAAAGATGGCACTGCAAAGAAAGGAAAGTCTTTTTTGATAAACGGTGCAAGGATAATTGAATATCTGTATTAAAAATGAACCGACCCCATCCTTATACTGTAAACAAAATTAGTTCCAGATGGATTGTAGATCTAAATATGTAAAGTAGCACAATAAATAAAGCTCCTGAAAGATAATATAGAAGAATATTTCAATTACCGTGGAAAGGAAATTATTTCTTAAGTAGAATAAAAAATGATAACCATAAAGATAAGAATGATAAATTAGACTGTTAAAATTAAAAATGTCTGTTATTAAAGTACACCATAAAGAGGGTGAACAGACTGGGAGGAGATCTTTGCAGCACATATATCGAATAAAGGATCCATATCTATAATATCTATAATAATAAAAGCATAATATGCTAATTAGACTGGACATCTTTCTGGGCGTCCTTCTGGACAAAGCTAGGGCTGTGAGGGCCAAGCCCCTTGCACAAATTTCATGGATCAGGCCTCTAGTATATCTCTAAGAGATATAAAAACATAATGTGCACACAAAAACTTGTACATGAATGTTCATAGCAGCCTTATTCATAGTAGTCAAAAAGTAGAAACAACCTGTATGTCTGTTAATTGATGAATGGATGAATTGTGGTATATCCAGTCAATGGAATATTATTTGGCAGTAAAAAGAAGTAGTACTGATACATGACACAAATGGATGAACCTTGAAAAAAGCCAGACACAAAAGGCTAAACATCGAATAATTCCATTTATATGTAATGTCCAGAATATGCAAATCTATAGAGTTAGAAAGTAGATTAGTAGTTGCCTAGAACTGGAGGTGTTGAGGAAGATAGGAAGTAACTATTAGAGTATGGGGCTTCTTTGGGGGATGATGAAAATGTTCTAAAATTGATTGTAGTAATGGTGGTGTAACTTTGTGAATATACTAAAAACCATTGAATATTATACTTTAAATGAGTGAATTGTATGGTATGTAAATTATATCTTTGTAAAGCTGTTTTTAAAAAATGAGGTAATGCTTCAGCACTCACACAGTAGAATTCCTGTTTAAAAAACTGGTAATACCAGCATTTACAAGGATGTAGAGTGATGGAAACTCTCATACTCCGCTGATGGGAGTATAATTGATACAATGATTTTAGAAATCTGTTTGATATCACTTTTTAAATTTGAACATATGCATAAACTATAATGTAGGATTTCTACTCATAAGTATATACCCAACAGAAGAGATAAGTCCAGAAATGTTCTTGGCAGCATTATTCATAATAGCCTAAACCTAGAAACAACTCAAAAGTCTATCAATAGTCCAATGGATAACTAAATTGTGATGTAGTCATACAATAGAATATAACATGGCAAGAGAAATGAAGAGACTACAACTACATACAAAAGATGAATCTCATAAACATAACATTGAGTGAAAGTAGTCATATACACACTATCTAACTTCATTTTTATAAAATTCAAAGAACAGGTAAAACTAAGCTGTAGAGTTCAGGGGAGGGGGGGATGCTTAAATGGAGAAGCTATAAGGAAAACCAGGAAATAATTATCATGAAAGTCAAGATATTTATTACTTTGGGAGGAAGGAGGGTTAGTAATTGGGAAGGGGCAGGAAGGGGGCTGCTGGGTTGTTGGCAGTGTTCTGTGTTGTTGTTTTTAAGCTGGTAATGATTAGCATGTTCAGTATGTGATGATTCGTTGTGATGCACATTTTTAGTTTGTGTGCTCTTCTGTGTGTGTTTCCCAATAGAAATGTTTATGAAATAATTAAATATTGAATACAACACATGTCAGCATATACTTTTTTCTGCCAAGGGCCAGATATTTAATTAATTCACCCCTAATGCTTTGGCCAGACATCCCCCCCCCCTGCTTTATATGCATACATATGTGTTGAATCTTATCAACAGTATGTAAATGATTACTTTGTGAAGATGGTATGCTAAGGACTAATAATTTAATTTCTCCTTTATTTTGCAGGAGTATGTTTATCCAGAAGCCAGAGACAGACAATACTTATTATTTTTCCATAAAGGAGCCAAAAAGACACGTTTTGACCTAGAGAAATATAATCAACTCAAGGATGCAATTGCTCAGGTAAGTTTTCAAAAATAAAATTTAATAAATTTCAGCCCCATTTTGTATGGAATTATCATTATTATTTTTTTTAATCCTCATCTGAGGATATTTTCTCCATTGATTTCTAGAGAGAGTGGAAGGGAGGCAAAAGAGAAAGAGAGAGAGAGACATCAACATGAGAGAGAGAGAGACATCGATTGGTTGTCTCCAGCAACTGCTCCTTCTCAGGGCTGGGAAACTGCAACCTAGGTACATGCCCTTGACCAGGAATCAAAGCTGTGACCCATCTGTCTGCTGGATGACACTAACCAGTGAGCAACTGGTTAGGGCCGGCATTATTATTATAATTATCCATAACGACAGTACTTCAATGGGTAAACTGAAAGAATGACCCAACCCTCTTCTTCCTATATAAATTATTCCTCAGCTATAATAATAAATGGGTAATATGCTAACTAGACCTGATGATCTTCTGGACGAAGCCAGGGCTGAGAAGGAAACCCAGATTCCTGGTGCCTGCCAGCGGCCGGAGGGAAGCCCGGGTCCCAGGTGCCAGAGGGAAGCCGGTGCCGGCAGCCAGGGAAAGGAAGGCCTACTCTTGCACGAATTTCATGCATTGGGCCTCTAGTTTGATATAAATCACTATTTTAGCATAGATACCTCTAAAAGTCTTATAATACAAGCAGATGAAAAGATGGTGAGTCCTAGCTATCCTATTAACACTAGCATATTGAATTTCTTAGACCTATTTTTACTTTTTCATTTTGTTTCTTTAGAGTTGTCTTTTTTTACTTTTCTCTCCTTTTAAATCTTTCTTCAATAATTGACACAGAAGTTTCTCACCTAAAGAGTGTGGTAGCAATGGGGCAAAAATAAAATCCAGGTAAGAGAGAGAGATTACTAGGAATCTTTGCCCAGAGCAGGTGAGAAATTATTGAACTAGAAGATGCTTTTTAAAAAGATTGATACAGCCCTAACCGGCTTGGCGCAGTGGATAGAGCGTCAGCCTGCGGACTCAAGGGTCCCAGGTTCGATTCCGATCAAGGGCATGTACCTTGGTTGCAGGCACATCCCCAGTAGGGAGTTGCAGAAGGCAGCTGATGGATGTTTCTCTCTCATCGATGTTTCTAACTCTCTATCCCTCTCCCTTCCTCTCTGTAAAAAAAAAAATCAATAAAATATATTTAAAAAAAAAAAAAGATTGATACAGCCCTAGCTGATCTGGCTCAGTGGATAGAGCATCGGCCTGTAGACTGAAGGGTCCCAGGTTCGATTCTGGTCAAGGGCACATACCTGGGTTTTGGGCTTGATCCCCAAGAGGAGGGCATGCAGGAGGCAGCCAATCAGATCATAATTGATGTTTCTATCTCTCTCTCCCTCTCCCTTCCTCTCTGAAATCAATAAAAATATATTTTTTATAAAAGATGGATACATTCTGTTTTTCATAATCTTTACCACTTTCAGATTTCTGAGTGTGCCTTCCTCACTCTGAGATATTAGATTTTGGTGAATAAATCCTCATCTTATTTTCCATAGTCTTTTATGACTTTAGAGGTGTGGTGCTTTTTTTAGTCCCCAAAAGTTCTGCCATCCCCTTCTCTGGACCTTCTCTGCCTTCTCTGTCTTCTCTGTCCCTTATTGGTGATGGAGTTGTGCTTTGAATAAGCTTAACCCATCTTCCTGCGTTGGCCTAAGTGGACTCAGGTCTTCTGTTGCTCTGGGTGGTGGTTCAGCTGGAGGGACTGCACCACAATCCTCCCTGGAGCTATTAAACATGCAGATGCTGCAGCCCCATCCTAAGCCTTTTAATCCAGCTCCTCAGGAGTGAGGGTCCAGCCTGTGTGAGTTTTAAAAGTGCTGCATTGACTGACTACAAATCCTTGTTTTAAAAGTCTGTAGCTATTGAAGAACTTAAACAACTATTGGATACACAACAAAAGTCTTTGAGGAGCCAAATTAAACTTCTGGCTCCAGGCAAAGGTTCGTGAAAGGGCAAAACAGCAAGGTGCATCAGGTGCTCCCCATATTCTTGAGCCTGAGTCCTCCCTGTTGATAGCAGGTCACTCTGGAGGCTCTGTTGGCAGCTGAAACTGCCAGCTTTTGGCGCTGGTCCCCCTTTGTTGCCCTTTGTCTCTGAGGCACTCTTATTTTGAGAGTAATTGAGATGATTTCTTTGACACACAGTGATGGAGGGAAGACAGTTTCCTTTTCTTGGGAGACACTAATATTGAAAGCTTCATTAGCAAGTTTTTCTCACCTTTTGTTTCTATTTTAGGCAGAAATGGACCTTAAGAGACTGAGAGACCCATTACAAGTACATCTGCCCCTCCGACAAATTGGTGAAAAAGATTGATCTGCAAAGAGCCTCTGAATCCCAGCAGAAAGAACACTTGTTTATAACTATTGCCTTTTTAATTAAAACATCACAGGTGGAAGCTGGGAGCCATGTTGGGGTGGAGGGTTTTTACCTTTAATTAAAAACAAAACAACAAGGAAGTTAGGGAAGAAAGGAATGTTAAAATCTGAAGATCAAGCTTTGTGAAATATAAGCTCAAAGGGCTTAGTTAATATTGTCTTAATCAAGCATCTCAGTTCCTGGATGAAATAAGTTATATATTTGAGAGATTCAGAAAGAGTAAATGATGCTGGGGTGTTAAGTTTCTTGCATCTTCTTTGCAGGTCAGCAAAACAGTAACACACCAGCACCCCACTCAGCTCTATTTTTTTTTTATTTAACTTTTCTTATTTTTGACATAGGAGTCAATAAACAGACCAGAAAAGCATATCCTCAAGATATGTGGGTGGCAAACAGAGTCTGAGCCCAGACATTACATTTATTTTAAATTGGACCCAGCCTCTACAAGTAAACAGGAATCTGCCCCGCTTGTGCCCCTTTTCTGACCACCCACCCCTGTTGGTTACATTAATTTTATCCATATGATCATTGGAACCAATTTATGACTGTTTGATGATCGACACTCTGGATTAAGCCTTCTTACATGTCTTTATATTCCAGCGCTCTGGATCAGTATCTAGGAATCATTGGCAACACTGCATGAAGTTTTCTTGTTCTGTTTTGTTTTGTTTTGTTTTGTTTTGTTTTGTTTACTAATTAATTTTTGAGGGGAGGCAGAACTTCCCTCCTTTAACTATCCCATTGATATTCCACTCTCCCTCCATAACTCAAATGGGAGGGGGAGTGTTCAGCTATATTACCAAATCAGAAAGATGAAAGGTTTACAAAGTGGCTAAAAATCATGTCTGTGTAGCCATTTCAGAACCAGAATGATTTCATTGCTGTTAATCTGCTTGTGTGACAGCATTCAAGGCCAGGTCACCAGATGCCACTGTCTCATCTGGAGGCTTTGTCAGTCTCGAAGGACACACACACTTGACCCCTGTTTGTGAGCCCTCTCACCTCCACCACTTCAGGAGTTGTAAATCAAGTGTGTGGATCACAAAGGGTGCAATTTATCTTTATACAGGCATACATTTCTATGGCTCCTTTCGGCCTACCTTCTTCACCCAATTTTTTCTTAAATTGAGAGAAAGAAGCATTAATCTTATACTCTATCAAATATTTTCTACCATATTTCCAGTTGACATGTGCACTTGAAAATCAAAGGCATCTGTCCAATATTCTGTTTTTAATTACTGTGGGGGCAGGAGGGGGAGGAAGATGGGGCTTGCCACACAGCTGATTGGCTTTTTTTCTTTCACGTGATTCATCCCTCCTCTTTGTGGCATGGGATTCCTTTCTCTTTTTCTTTCTCCTTTGGGATCATTGTGTATGAAAAGAAGAATTTTTAATGACAAACCCAGACTCCAGGTGCCTTGCAGAGGTTGAAGGCCAGCCAGGATTGCTGCTGCTGCTCCTGCCACCACCCCTTCCACTGGCATGATGGAATGAAAGGATGCATGTCTCCACTTCCCAGCCCCTCCCCACTTCCTTCCCCTGCCCGCTCCCCCCCCCCCCCCCGCCACACACACCCCCGTTGCAACCTCTTCCTTCATTTATTTTTAAGTTGTGTGAATTATTTTTAAACCATTTATCCTGTTTGTGCACAGGGTTTTTAAGAAGAAACAGCACAGTGCAATGAGCAAATCCTTTCAGGATGTGTGGGAGGCAAGGGAGGGAGGATGGATGGGGAGAAAAGTCCTTTAAACAAATAGTAAAATATTGAACATGTGTAAAATCCTGTATCATTTATGAAATATGTATAAAATCAATGTAACTTCTGGAACAATAAATACTTATTCAATTTTTGAACTGTAGCATCTCATTCTTTAAAGCAAAACCAAGAAAAGAAAAACAAAAAAACTTATTTTCCTGTGATTCTAGGTGGAAAGCTTTTTACTTCTGAAATAATTTTTATAAAAATACCATTTTGAAAAGATTTGTTCCTAGAACCTATATTCTTAAAAGAGACATTTCATTAATTTTTCCTGAACTAAGATGGTCAGTAGCTTCCTCATTTTCCAGTGCCACCCAAGGGTAAGTGACTGGACCGGCCATAATAAAGCTAGTGGCAACACAGAGACTATTATCACTATCTCCTGATTAAGAGGAAAATCCTATCAGACCACTAGATTGCCCAGTGGTCTCCTAGACTCCAGAAGTTGTTCAAGGATGAGTCAAGATTAAATATTCATTATTTTAAGAGTTTGTGTCAAATTTATAATGATCACCAAACAAGAAAGGACCACATGCTGCCTCGTCCATCAAAGGCATATCAAAAAGCACGTATTAAATAAAAGATTAAAATCATGTGATCTTAGTGGATTCAGAAAAAGCATTTGGCAAGATACAACACTAATTTATGATTAAAACACTCAAAATGGGTATAGAAGGAAAGTACCTCAAGATAATAAAGGCCATATATGACAAACCCTCAGTTCATATAATGATGAAGAAGCTCTCCTCTAAGATCAGGAAGAAGACAAGGATGCCCACTCTGATCACTGTTGTTCAATATAGTCCTGAAAGTCCTAGTCAGAGCAGTCAGGCAACAACAAAAAATAAAAGGCATCCACATTTGGAATAAAGAAGTAAAACTCACTGCAGATGACATGGTTCTACAGGACTCCACCAAAAGACTATTAGAAACAATATATTGCAGGATATAAAATCAACATACAAAAATCAGTTGTGTTCTTATATATTAAAATGAAATATCAGAAAAAGAAATGAAGAAAACAATTGAAACAAAAAAATGATAAGTTGCTATCATGTGCACTGACCACCAGGGGACAGACGCTCCAGCAGGTAGGTTAGCTTGCTGCTGGAGTCCAGCTGATTGGGACTGAGCAAGAGGGGGCAGACATGCCCTGGAGCCCTCCTGAGGTCCTTTCCCGGCCAGCCAGCTCCCATCGGCCCCAATCGGGACTGGGCAAGATGCCCTGATCAGCCCCAATTGCTGCCCAGGCCAAGGGACTCCACCGGTGCATGAATTCATGCACCAGGCCTCTAGTAGAATATAATTAAAAGCCCACAAATAAACCCACACATATATAGGCTACTTTTTTTTTTTTCACCAAGGAGCCAAAGCATACAGTGGAGAAAGGAAAGCCTTTTCAATAAATGGTGTTGGAAAAATTGGAAAGCCACATACACAAGAATGCAACTGGATTGCTATCTGACACCATGCACAAAAGTTAACTCAAAATGGATTAAGTACTTGAATATAAGACCTAAAACAATAGAATACATAGAAGAAAACATAGGCACTAAATTTATGGACTTTGGTCTCAGAGGGATTTTTGTGAACTTGACTCCAAAAGCAAGGGAAACAAAAGCAAAACTTAAATGAATGGAACTACATCTAACTAAAAAGCTTCTACACTGCAGAGAAACCATCAACAAAAAGAGAACCAATCAAAAGGAAGAAGATACTTACAAATGATACTTCTAATGAGCTAATATCCAAAATATATAAATAACTCATACAACTCAACAAAAAACAATCAAAAAATTATCAAAGGACCTGAATAGACACTTCTCCAAAGAGGATATACAGATAGCAAATAGATATATGGAAAGATGCTCAATGTCACTAATCATCAAAGAAATTTAAACCACAGTGAGATATCACCTCACACCTGTTAGAATGGCTATCAATAAATCAACAAACAACAAGAGCTGGAGAGGATGTGAAGAAAAGGGAACCTTCATACACTGCTGGTGGGAATGTAAATTGGTACAACCTCTATGGGAAACAGAATGGAGGTTCTTAACAAAATAAAGAATAGAGCCACCATATGATCCAGCAACCCCTCCCCTGGTTATCTACCCCCAGTATTGAAAACACTTATTTGATATCTGTACCCCAGCGTTCATTGGAGCATTATTCACAATAGCCAAGTCAGGGAAAGAACTAAGTGTCCTTTGACAGATGATTGGATAAAGAAGATGTGGTACATATATACAGTAGAATACTAAGCCATAAAAATGATGAAATATTGCCATTTCAATGGATGAATCTTGACAGTATCATGCTAAGTGAAATAAGTCATGTGGAAAAGGACGAGAACCTATGATTTCACTCATGTGGGACCTAAAAGAAAGCAACAAATGAACAAACAAAACAAGTTCATAGACACAACAGTATGGTGGTTACCAGAGGGAAAGGGGGGTGGAAGAAGTATGACGAGGATAAAGAGGGTCAAATATATGGTGACAAAAGGAGACCAGACTCTGGGTGGTGTGCACACAATGCAATGTACAGATTTGTATTACAGAATTGTCCACTTGGAATTTACATAATGTTATTAACCAATGTCACCCCCAATAAATTTAAAGGGGGAAAAAAGCATGTAGTAAATGTCTGACTGCATATAGTGTGGTATGAGATATCAAAGGACCTCCTTAGCTATCTATAGTCCTGCCTCCTGGCAACTTACAGCAACCTAACACAGACATCCCCAGGACGTTTATAAAGTGTAAGATGATAAAAGATTGAAAATGGTAAGCTCTTGTTTGCATTCAACAAATAATGTCTGCATATTCCATGACATTCTGTTAGGCTTTAGTGGGTTTTCAGTGGAGATAGTGGAGCGTGTTAAATCCATTAGTGAGTGTAGGTAATGCTGTTTTGCTAAGAGATCATGGACTTTTAGAGCTGGAAAAATAAAAGGATTCTTAGGGGATGATCCCTGCAGCAGCAGCGTGGCATTCCTTGTTAGAAATGCAAGTTCTCTCCCTACTGAATTATAAACTAGGAGGGGGACCAGCAATAACAAGCCCTCCTGGTGATTCTGATGTAAGCCATTGATTTAATCAAACCATTGCTTTAAAGAGAAGGAAACTGAGGCCAAGAGCGCAGCTATGTCAGAACCACCATTAAATCCTGTCATCAAACACAGCCAAGTGCCTGAAGGGCTGGTCAGTGTGGTGAGTATGGCTAATGGAAAGAATAGAAATCATGTCTCGTGTACTGTTGCATCTTCCTTGCCAGGGTGCAGTGGTAAACACATAGTAGATTATTACAAGAGCAAATGCAAATAGGTTGAATTTTTACAATGTATCTGGAAAGATTTTTCATAAAAGTGGAACTTCTTAGATTTTGGAACTCAGTTTCACCAAAACTGTTAAGGGTTGTCATTCATTTTTATCACAGCTAACAACCTTTAATTCGTTGCTCTCCTATATATCCAAACTCCTTGTCTCCAAAATGTTGTTATATCCTTAGGATAAATGTATATGTTAATCTTATTGTATCCTACTGAATATAAACGACTCACCATAAAATTTCATTTCATTTTATGTTTTATAAATGAATCATCCACTGAGCAATCCCTCCTCCTCAAAATTGCCCTCAGCTCCTGTAACTCTGCTCTTGAGTTTCCTTTTATAAATCTCTACCTCCCAGTCTCTTTTGCAGCGACCCCTTCCTCTGCCCACATCTCTGACCCCATCTTGGACCCCATTTTCCATGGATGATCTCATCCCCTCCTCTCCCCCAATTTCTGTTCCTCTTTTGTGCCGGTGGCTCTCAAACTGTTATTGTACCTCGGCTCCATCCTGAATAGCAGATTGCTTTACCCACCTCCTAACTGATCTATTTCTAGCACTCCCCTCTATGCTTTCAATTCCTTCAGTATCACCAGCGTATTTTTGTTTTTAATTTATAATAGCACAGACTTTAGAAAAATAAGAAAATATGAAAAAGATAAGGGAGGCTAAAAGACACCACAAAAAGTAGTTGGCCAAATCTAGACTATGAGTCATTCATTTATAAGGCAAATGTCGGGGTTTCTTCAACAAATAGGGGTGTGGTGGGGGGAACCATTATAGATTAAAAACAACTTAAGAGACACTAGCATGGCTCTTGTTTGAATCCTGACTGACTCAAACCAGCAATACAAAGAAATTTTTGAAACACTTGGGAAAAATTAAATAGGGAATGGGTATTAGATATTAGATTATTACTAGTTTTCGAAGTACTAGAAATGTTACAATTCTGTAAAGTGGAAAGGTCATGTTAGAAATGCATGCTGGTATAAATGAAATAAGAATGACAGTGTTAGTAATGGCAGCGGGGTGCTCATTATTGTTTACTTTTCTATATATTTGAAATTTTTCATCATAAAAAGTCAAAATGAAAGGGCATTTCAACTAAAAAGGAAAAAAATAGGAATAAGGGGGGGGGGGATCCTGCCATCTGGGAATGCTTGTTTACAGAACCAGCAGCTAGCTATCTGGTAAAAGTCCTTGACTCAGGCAGTCCATCCGGGCAGCAAGTCTGGTTTATCTCACGCAGACGTCCTCTGTTCCTCTGCAGCCGTGTGAAGCACTCGGTGGCTTCTCGGAGACAGGAAACTGCAGGGGTTGTTTTTTCTGTCAAGGGCACTGACCCTTAACAGCACTACCCTGCAAGGAGACAGTCCTCAGCCCCAACGTCATCCATTGCTGACACCACATTGCAACTTACGCTAATGGCCAAATTGCCTGTGTTCTGCTAGCATTAGCAATGAACTACCTAACTCCAACCTTAGCTCGATGGAAATCCCTTGCTAGACTGCAAACTCTGTGCTTGCAGGTACCACTTTTACCTTCAGTGTCAAAAACCAGTGACCAGGGTGGCTTCTGACCATGAGCATTAATGTTTCATTGAACTGAAACCCGGAAAGGGGCCACAGTCATTTGAGTGCCACGTAGCATAGTAAAAATGATGAAGGTATTATAAAGACAAGTTTAAGGACTACTTCCTAAAGATGATAATATTCCTTTCCCAGTCACTAGAAATTTTGTTATTAGGAAAAGAAACAGGT